AGCGTAAGCGCAAAGGCCCTTACCCCCCCCCATTCAGGGTTTAATATGGGGGCCTTAATAGTTAGAATTGGGTTTGGGGCCCAGTATATTATTTTCATAATAGGGAACCCCCAAAAGTAATTTTTTAGGCCCCTAGAGTAAGTTTAAGCTTCAGGGTGTAGGTTGGCAGTGGCTCCTTGGGCGCTGGCGGGCGGTGCTCAGAATGCTCCTGAGCTGATACATAGGCCCAGGGACCAATACACTATGTTAGAGTAGCGAGATACAATACCTTATGATGCTCTATCATCTGTATGATGAGATACCACCTGCTATTACGTAAGACTCCATCATGTTATTTATGATATCATCCTCTATTTTGCCATAGCATGGCATACCTTCTTTCGGGCAATCATCCCACTACCCAAGACCTCGTCCCCTAGCAGACTCTCAGATTTAGTGATCCATTGAGTTTAGGTGTCCAAGCTTGCTTGTGGAGTTTAGGGGTCGAAGGTTTTTGGGCTCTTGTTGTTGTTGTTGTTGTTGTTGTTGTTGTTGTTGTTTTTGAGTCTTGGTGAGAGCAATGGTGTTTGGGTCTTGGGCTTCCCTTTGGGTTTGGGATCCAGACTTGAAGTTTGAGACATTGGTGTTTGGGTGAGTTCGGGCTTTTGGGGTTTGGGGGCCTAAGGGGCAGGGGCTTCCCTGAGCGTACTTGATAGTGGAAAGGTGATAGAGTGTCGAGATCTAAAGCAACATCAAACACTCTTTACAGAAGAGTTCAATTGTTCACTGCCCTTTTCCATCTCAGGCTTCTCCCGCCGCAGCCTGTCCTGATTTCGGCGGATGATGTGCAGCTGGCTGGCTCTCTAGCTTGAGATCTTTAAGGCCTGGGGGATCCGGGTACTACCTAGACGCTCCATAGTAGTTCCTGTTTGGGGGTTCATATTTAGAACCCTATTAATAAAGGTAATCCCAAAAAGGAACTACTCTGCAGCCTATGGGTAAGTATTCGACCGCTATCATAAGGACTCTGGAGGGGACACTACTCGGAAGACTGTGCACACACGGGCGGTAACAACAAATAATTACTAGCAACATCTGTCTTATACCCTCAATCAAAATCATAAACATGGGCCTTTCAAATCAAAAGTAATGTCTTGTGGCATGGGGTAGAACATCAGGCCCTCTGAACCCTAACCCCCCGTAGCCCCCAAACCCTAAACCGGTAAAGGCTGAACTGTAGTCAAGGTGCTTCAACTCCTGGACGTGCCCATTCATCTTCTCGGCCCTCGGCGACATGGCATTCAATCCCTGAAAAACGGAGGCCTGTCGTTTGGGGTCTTATAGTAAAATGCGGGGTCGCAGATTCTAGTATTTCATAGTACTCGTATCGTAGAGTCGTAAATATTATGGTACAAGATGGTCGATGGACAGCAAGAATCGAACTAAACACGCAGCAAGAACTGCTCAGCGTCCTGTTGAATGTTGCTGTCAGCAGGGTCAGGGCATCACCGATGCCTTGACATGAGGCATAGGGCAAATTAATTACTCTACCCAGAAAGCCTGGCTGCAAAACACACAAACACACAAGCAAACATGCAGCATTCTCAAGGCACATGCGCAGACACGAACATGCGTAGGACATACATACAGACACGCATACACGCAAACATGCACATACATACATACACACATGCATACATACATACATAGACAGGCGCGAATGAGATCAAAGGCCTCCTTGATCCAGGTTCTTGATGCCAGAAATTCTCTTTTCCCGGCAATCCCTGTGGCTACGGTATCCTGATGAATGCAATTACTCGACATGAAAGGCTTCGATGTCGCTGCACTTTAACACCTGGATTGAACGAACGTGCGCAAGTGTACCGCAACCCCTTTTAACACACTTTATAAGGTAGGGCCTTCATCATTATACAGGACTTGCGGGGGGTTTAGTTAGTGGAAGGCACTCACTAGACGCCTTTGATATCCAATACACTCACTAAACGGCCTTAATACTGCAAGTACAAAATATTCCGACTCCAATATTACGACCACACTTTCAACTAAAGCCTGGAAGCAGCTCAAGTGGGATGAGGCCCGAGCCAGTTTTGCAACGCAGATCGCAATCCCGTGTCTGGTATGGCCTGGCTTCAGGGTTAAGGGTTTAGGGTTTACCTGTACCCCCCGGAACCGACCTCTGGAAGTATCCAAGGAAACCAGAAAAATGAACCCTGAGAAGATGAGTTTTTCGGCTACAGGTAGGGGTTCGGGGTTTGGGGAAGCTTGAAAACCTAGGACAACTGCGGGAACCCAATTAAGCAACTAATGGCTCAACAACCCCACAACGCCGGATCCAAAGCAAGAGTGAACACGTAGTGTGGGGCTGCTTCATCAGCTGCTGCTGCTGCGGCTACTACTACTACTACTACTACTACTACTACTACTACTACTACTACTGCTACTGCTACTGCTACTGCTACTGCTACTGCTACTGCTACTGCTACTGCTACTGCTACTGCTACTGCTACTGCTACTGCTACTCCTACTACTGCTGCTACTCCGACTGCGACTGCGACAACGACTACAACGACTTTAACGGCTACTACTACTACTACTACTACTACTACTACTACTACTACTACTACTACTACTACTACTACGACTACGACTACGGCTACGGCTACGGCTACGACTACGACGACGACGACGACGACGACTACTGCTACTACTACTGCTACTGCTACTGCTACTACTACGACTACGACTACGACTACGACTACGACTACGACTACGACTACTACTACTATTACTACTACTACTACTACTACTACTACTACTACTACTACTACTACTACTACTACTACTACTACTACTACTACTACTACTACTACTACTACTACTACTACTACTACTACTACTACTACTACTACTACTACTACTACTACTACTACTACTACTACTACTACTACTACTACTACTACTACTACTACTACTACTACTACTACTACTACTACTACTACTACTACTACTACTACTACTACTACTACTACTACTACTACTACTACTACTACTACTACTACTACTACTACTACTACTACTACTACTACTACTACTACTACTACTACTACTACTACTACTACTACTACTACTACTACTACTACTACTACTACTACTACTACTACTACTACTACTACTACTACTACTACTACTACTACTACTACTACTACTACTACTACTACTACTACTACTACTACTACTACTACTACTACTACTACTACTACTACTACTACTACTACTACTACTACTACTACTACTACTACTACTACTACTACTACTACTACTACTACTACTACTACTACTACTACTACTACTACTACTACTACTACTACTACTACTACTACTACTACTACTACTACTACTACTACTACTACTACTACTACTACTACTACTACTACTACTACTACTACTTACTACTACTGCTGCTACTACTACTGGCATAATTAGGATGCTGCTGCGTGGCTATTAATTGCAGCTTAGAGCCATCAACAAAGCAGTGCGCCTCCAGCCCATCAGTGAACTCGGCGACTACACCTGATCGGGAATGGTTGTTGACCCTACACCCTAAACAGCAAGTGGGCTTAGGGTTTAGGGGTTAGAGGCTGAGGGTTTAGGGATCTTGGTGTGGAAAGTTCAACATGCCGACTGCTGCTATGCCTCGCGCTGCCGCTGGAGCTGCAAGTCAGACGAGAATCTCAAGCTCGAGGTGTTTCTTTCGAAGCTGGCACGCAGCATCACCTGCCTACTCCCTACACCTACTGTAGCCCAAGAAAGCCAGGTGTTTTGGGTTCCTGATGATGCTTTCCTGTTAGGCTACGAGCATGCCCTCGGCAGCAAGACTGGTTGCAAGCTGCCGGGCATGGTGAAAACCATCCGCATCAAATTGCACTGCTGCAAGGCCGCACCCACAGGGCAGGTTTGTCATTGAGGAGCTATAGGTTTAGAGCTTCAGGTAGAAAGGACCTACCTTCCTAGCTTGAAATTTGAGGATGAATGAAGCTTCCAAGCATACATTGTCGGCGCTTCGTGGAATTCGCTTGCTGCGATGCCTTGCAAGGCAAGCGACACAGATGCCGGGCACTGCTTCAAGCATTGCAGACCTTCCCCTGGTCTGAAGTTACACAGGCGCGCAGGCCCCGTCCATAAGTGACCCTCAACCCTTGCTAAGACCTCAAACTCCTAAGCCCCTAACGCCTAAACTTATCGAACCCCTACAGGTCAAGTCGCACTACCCAAAACGCCGCTTCATCACAGCCAAGTCGGCCGGCTAAGTCTGTGCCTACCTCGAGTGCTGCAAGCATGAGACCCTGCATATGCTTGGCACAAACCTGTTCTTCCGACTCGCCTCGAAAGCTGCCTGAACGCCGACCCTGCAGGGATTCAATGGGAATGAAAGCTACACCGTAGCATCCTTGTCGGGTATCATGGGGAACTAAAGCTTAACCTTTTGGGTTATATAGGGATTATATAGGGACTATAATATACTACCCAAAAAAAGTTAACGGTTCCCTACTCTGCTACTGAGTATATAAACCCTACAAAGGCCCAAGTTGCAAAGGCCTCACCCCGTGACCCTAAAGGGAACTCCAGAAAGTTGGAATATGGTTTCAGGGTAGGATACCCTATAGTTTACCATAAAGGGTTTAGGATTATCAAATTCCAACTTTCTGGCTTCTACTTTAATTGATCGACCCCAACCCCAAAACCCTCAAACCCTGAACACATCAAGCCCTGCATGGTAGCTCAGAGGAATCAGGATGGCGCCGTGCCTGAGTTGCTGCTCTTCGTCCGGAGGCAACGACAGCTCATGAAACGCTTCGGATTGGGGCGTTGGGTTTAGTGTTCAACCTGGTGTATGAACATGTACACACTACCAGGGCTATGAATGGGTTGCCTTGAAGGAATATCTAACTAAATGCACCATCCTTCTTGTATGCCGAGCTACCAGACAGCCGATCAGGTCACTACGAGGTCACACTTGGCTCTGAGAGCCTGAGTGCGTTGATCTGCGCCCGGAAGGCTTCTGCAGCCTTCCTCGGGCTCTCGGCCTTTGAAATGCCTGACGGAGGTGGATTTTGTCAGTTTCCTAGTAGGATGCCCAGTAACTTAGGAATAAAAAGGGCCCCCTTTTTGGCATTGGGTAACTTTGTAAGGAACCTAGCACTACAAAAAGGGAATAAGGGTACTACTGGGCATCCTAGTTTCCGGCTTTTAGAGTTCAGGTGTCTTTATGCTTTTGTTTTGCATGGGTTGTCCAGGCTTATCTTGAGATTTCGACTTCTAGAAGGTGTTGTTATGCATTTTCTGTCCTGGGGGTTCAGAAGACCGCTTACGGGAAAGTATGAAATTTTCTACATTGTGTGAGGGGGTTCCACCTGATTAGTTACCGATGTAATCCCTTACTCACTAGAATGTGTCCCCAACCCTCTTCTAGTTGCTATAAGGCCCCTCTACTAAGGTGTCGCGTCTAGGTGTCTGGGGCGTGGGGCTTTCATCTTAGAGCCGCTCTGACAGGAAACAAGCTGCTTCAGAGAATAGGATGTAGAATTAGGATTCAGGGTTTAGGAATTTCAGGTCTAGTCTTCTAGGTTTAAGGTTTGGGGATTGGCGGGTGTGGCTTGCGGCCAAGGCGAATATAGGGGCCTTAATTAATAATAGTTAGAATAAGGTTTTGGGACCACTTATACCAAAAAAAGTCTAGGTATTTACAAAGGGCCTATATTACACCCGGAATCCTAAAGAATCCTGCTCGCCGGGCCTCGCGAGATGGGCAGCAGAATTCCCAAGCCGTCTGGGCGCAACCCAGCCGTCAGAGCCTGGAGGTTTAGGAGTTTAGGGGTTTAGGGTCTTAAGGTTCACCATTTGAGGGTTTTTTAACAGGTAAAAGAAACCCTTAAACTGTAATTTCTAGTTTAAGGGTTTAGGGTATAGGGGTTTAGGGTTTAGGGGCTTAGGCTTTAAGGGTTGAGGCTTTAGGGCTTCCAATGGCTCTACTTGGAGGTTCGTGGGTAGCTATAACTTGGGTTATCAGTAGGGTAACTTAACCATAATCATGACCCATATTAGGGGACTTTCAACCCCACTTACAAGTCCGCCGCAAACATGAACCTCCAAGTAGGGGTCCACGTGCCCTGAAATGGGTTCAGGATGGTTTAGAGTAATGGCGATTATAAGTTGGTAGTTGTGGGACGGCTTACGTCTAATTCTGAAACTCCCGGACAGGGTTGGCCTGAGGGCTTAGAGTTACCGCATGTGGGATTCAGGGCTTGGGGGTTGTTAGCGCTTCAGCGCTTCGGGCATGACATACCGGACTATGAGATATGAATGAATGAAATCGCAATCTGTTGAGGAGTTGAAATTCAATCGTGGCTTCACTGCTATGTTGTGACATTCTAGAGAGAGGATCGGAACTCGTAAGGTTCTAGGGCAGTGACAGAACTAGCGCCACTGGCGCCACTAGGAGTTGACATGCAAGGCTGAAGCACCAAAACTCTGCGCCCTCAGTCAGCGAAACCTGAAGCCCCCAAAACGTAGGGCAAGAAGCCTCCGGCTTAAAGCTCCTCTACAGTAGAATGGGGAATCCCAGCACTAGTTGTCGCTAATCCGGTTTCCAACTTTTTGGGTTTACTCTACTTGGAGGATCATGGGACTTAGTAAGTAGGGTTATAAATACCTTAATTGGGTTATAAGTAAATATAACTGTAGTTACCTTACTTATAACCGTACTTACTAAGTCCCATGATCCTCTAAATAGACCCTAAACCCTAAGCCCCTATAGATCCCTTTATAGGAACCCTATAGATCCCTTTAAGGGGCCAGACACCTCGAAGTAAGATCTCCGGCGTCAGACTTCAGGTCTTCAACTGGCAATTTTCGAAGGGGACCCCCCAAAAAGAAGCAGCCCTAAATGGTAGGATCCTTGTTATAAGGAACCAAAATAAGGTACCCCAACCCCGTTTTCGGAAACTCCCAAATCATGAGGGTTGGAAAGTTAAGCAATCCGACCCTTAGCCAGGACAGCTTACCGAAGAGGTGTTTTTAAACTTGTGAGATATAGTCGGGTACGATTGTCTTTAATGAGTTAGAAGGGTGTCACTCCAACTGTTCAGACCTCTATACTACATCCTGCGCCCAATAGCCTCTTGACAATGTGCTTAGGAAATTCAGGGGATTAGACCTTGTAGGTCCCTCGCATTCCCCCGTCTGCCTGATTTGAAACTAATAGACACGTTTGCCCCCGCCCAACCAACCCCAAAGAAGCATAACGACTACTGCAAACTACTCAGCTCGCCCCCCCCAAACCCTAAACTCCCTAGACCCTCAAAGCTATCGTCACAATGTTGACGGCCAAGTTTCTGCTTCCAGGTCGCCTCCTTGGGCACCAATGCCCGGCGAAAGGAACCAAACATCCTGAGGTTAGAGGATACTCATGGGTGTAGAAGGCTGTACATCTCTTGTGTGTGATATAACTAGTCAACATTCGTTCAGGTTTGCTTCAAATGCCAAAGCTCTCTGGATGGCGGTTGCTCTCCACTGAAGGTAGCGGATTTCGGGGACCTCATAATGAGGATCTTCCTATTGTCTGAGACTCGGAAAGAAGCCAAGATACATGTGTTGCTATGGCATAAATGTACGTGCAGAAAAATGCCAGTTGCTTGGGCTCGGTTGTGACCCCAAAAAAGCCTGACCAGTGTAAAACAATACGATCCTTGCGGAAAATGAAAACCCCGACAAACTGGCAGTGATAGAATCCGCATCTAGACCCGAAATCCTTCAAAACCCGAAACTCTTAGGCTCTATAATAAGGGCCTTAATAAATAGAATAGGGTTTTAGGTAATACACGATAAGTACTACAATCATACTACGGAACCCCCGAAATAGAATTGTTTGTTTTTCAGGCCCCTACATTAAAGCCTGAAGGCAGCCCCACCCAGAAAAGGCAAAGGTCCGGGACGGCTGCGCGAATGGCGCACATCGCCTCCACGTCCGTCGCGCCTACCTGAGCATCGGCTTTTCTTGAAGGTTCATGGGTAGTTATAAGTAGGGTTATAAAGGGTTCAGGGTTCCTTTAAGGGAGCTTTATAGGGTTATAGGGTTTGGGGATCAGGGTTTGGGGTAGTTATAAGTAGGGTAATAAGTAGGGCAGCTATACTTATGACCCATATTAGGGGACTTACAACCCAACTTACAGCTACCCATGAACCTCCGAATTCGGGTCCTATCCAAGGTCTTTAATATATATATATATATATATATATATATATATACCATATATGCTACCCCCCCCCTCAGGTACCCAGGTTTTCGTCTTTGTGCTGATAGCACGACGGAAGTCGGACAGAAAAGGCTGCAAGTGCACACGCATGCTCGCGATAAGCCGACATATAGTACTAGTAGTGAGCGAGTGTGACAAACTGCAGGGTATGGCGAAGCAGGCCTACTGAAACCCAGCAATGGAAAGAGTTTTGCACGGCATAGAGGTGATACTGTAGCATCCCCAAGGCCATGCACGCAGATTTCGGATCAAGGTGGATAGTGGCTATGTTTAATTGGCTGTCGTTATGGTTTTTTACACACGCAACAATGTCATTGCTGTGGTGGGTGTTGCAGTCTCTCACATGAATTGCTGTGTTCATTGGTTCATACAGCCATATATGGAATAAGCCTAAAGCGGTGTCATATAGTGTCAGTATACTTGTCAAAGCCTTTAGTCTCCACAGCACTGTACAATGATTCATGCGTGTCTGTCAATTTAGCAGTCAATAGCGACAAAAGTATGAAATCGTGCTTCACGACGGTGTGTGTAGGCTTCGCAATTGTTACTGCAAGTATAGTCTCCATTGCCTTAGGAATCCGATCTCCGTTTCTTTTCCCAGTCATGAAACTGCTACATGTTCTGTTCTTCTATATCGAGCTCAAAATGTCAAGTGTGCTTTTAATATTACCTCTCACAGTGTTGTTATCACACCTTGTAAATTGCCATTGTTCCTGTTACAGTGGTTATCATACTTGACCAATACCAGGCCATTTAGGACCATGTACCACCCGGCTTGTTTGATTTCTGCATCAAGTGCTACTGTGTCAATTACTGCTCTGATTGTTCATTCAGACTGCTTCGTATATTGTTCGGGAACCTTGCTTTATAGTAGCCAAGCATTATAAAGTCAATGAAGTACCTGCTGAGTCCTGTGTTCTATACATTCTGCTAAGTTGAGTATAAACCTACCAGAGAGCACCACGTGAATACGTACACTTGTGCTTCAAAACACTTCTTGGTAGGATGATGGTTAACCGAGTCACACATTTGCTTGCTTTTTACCTGCTGAGAGTGGGTTGTTAGTCTTCCAAACCAAACATGATCCAACACGCCGGGGCTGCGTGTTACACGCTAGGTTGTATGTTGTAGTTAATTAGTTCGACTATAGTTTTTCACGTCAGGTGACTTTTAATCCGAGTGCAGTTCATCAAAAAGTGCGTGCATCATACAGGTAATATCCATTTTATTGGTCGCAGAATCGTTTTCGAAAGTCTGCACCTACCAAACGATGACAAATTGAGAACGATGTATGTCAGAATTCTGGTGCACATGGTAGTCTTTTGACTACGGGCTCTTTGTTTTTTGTAAGCACCTGTGCCACGCCAAAAAAGAATACACAACCACAACTACCAAAGACCCCCATGCAAACACCAAGCAACATAAGTAGATCCTTCTACATTTATCTTAAGAAGTGGGTGATTAAGCCAGCTAAGTTTGGTCGTGCAGCAATAGCTTTCCTATAATAAGTTTTTGAATCTTAGACATGGAGTACAGCCTTGTATGTGATAAACAGAAAACCCATGAACTGGTGTTCCCACAGTAGTGTCTTCAAGCGGAGACTATGAATTACCTAGCTTCGTGTTGGACCAACTAGTGAGCTTAATCAAGGATGCAAATACCTTACCGGCTTGTCTGCAAAACGCCTCGCACGAGTACGTAAGATCTGCTCAATCACAACTTTCGGTAACAACCTATTGAAATATGTACTGTGGACAATGTTGGCGAAACCAGCATGTTCAACCATTCCCATGGATCTGGAGAAACTTCGGGAGCCGGAGCCGCAGTTTCGGGAATAATGGAAGTTGTTGGTAAAACCAACAATTTCCATGATTCCCGAAACTATGGCACGGGCTCCCGAGGTTTTTCCAAATTCATGGAAATTGTTGGAAATGTTGGTAAAACCAACAAATTCCATGATTCCGCACAGACAGATCATGGAAATTGTTGGTTTTTCCAACATTTCCAACACGTTCCATCGATTTGGAGAAAGCTCGGGAGCAACAATACAGTAGACGCTACACTTAGAAGCCCAGGGAGCCGCAGTAAACGAAAACCTGCTTTCCCAGAGACGCAATGACCAAGGAACACAAACAAATATTAGGGACAAGGTGTATGGCTTGAACAGGACACAACCTGGGTACCGGGGGGGGGGGCGGGGGTACCATATATATATATATATATATATATATAGATATATATATAAGGGTGCCGTACCAGTAAAGGGATGCGTATTTAGAGCACTACCCATGTGATTATGCCATACTATGCACCCAAGCCCTATACCGTTCCTTAGTAACATAAAAACACCAGAATATTCGAGCACTCCCCCTAAGCCCAAACACATAAACCCTCTAGATCCCTTAAAGAGACCCCCAGTTTAGATCCCTTAAAGAGACCCCCAGTTTAGTGCACTTAAAGAGACCCCCAGTTTAGATCCCTTAAAGAGACCCCCAGTTTAGAGCACTACTTCAATGTTCATCCGAGACTCAACGAGGCCTGCATTGTTGTGCTCCTTGGCCCACTGCAGGCAGCACACCTCCGAAGAGCACAACTATAGATAACCATAAACCCTGTAGGCCCAAAAAGCCCTAATCCCTAGAAAGCCTATAAGACCTATAACTTCATAGAACCCTACTAACCCACCAACCCTGCAAACCTTATAACCTCCCATAATCCCAAAATCCTAAAACCCTCTAAACTTTACCGTCATAGAGGTCGTGTCATCTTGATATCGGTTTCAACCCTTGGGGCTGTAAAAAGCTGCCTTTAACTTGGGTACGGCCCCCATACAGGAACAGTCTATAATTGGGCTACTATTGAGGGCCTTATATATATATATATATATATATATCTGTATTATGAATATTATCCAACTGATACTGAGTGGGGGCCGTACCCAACCTTTAATAATTAGAATATGGCTTTGGGGAAGTCGCATCGCTGTCAGAAGGAGCCCAATCGGAGAATGTTAGTAGATGTGCCAATCCCTAGAATAGAGTGCTTTGAAACTCTATCACTACATTGCACGCAGCACCCTATACACGAGTGGCATACGAAGCGCCAAACCACAAAACGTTCAAGGCTTCCGGTTTTAGGGCTCAAAGATCAGAGTTCAGTTTAGGCCTGCGTGACATTACGGCTTTTGGGCTGTATGGGAGTTTCCGAATATGGGGGACCCTAGTAAAGTACCCTACATCGAAGGGTCCTTATTATAAGGTCGCCAAAAAAAGGTACCCCTAATTTTCGGAAACCCCCATATTCTCCCAAGATCTATGAAGACCCCTGTGAAGCAGGCCTTTGCGACATGGACATAGAGGGGCTCACCACTCGGCAGCTGCAGAGCCTGGATGTCCTGAGAACCTCGCGCGGCTTAGGGCTTTAGGACTTCGGGTTCAGGGTTCAGGGTTCTTGACACTCATACTGCGGCGATACCAGGCGAGGTTTAGCGTTTTCGACCCGCACGAAAACAGAAAGGGTTTTAGGGCTTTAGAGCGTTTTTGGATGTTAGGGCTTAAGGGCTTTCGACTCGCACACTCGCACAACGCAGGCACGGCTTCTGAAGGGCTTTAGGGGTTAGGGCTTGAGCGTGATTTTAGGGTTTTAGGGTTGAGGAGTTTGAGAAGGTTTCAATTCCCGGCAAGACTCGGCGCAAGACCTTCAAGTGCATCTAGCTTATCCACCAGCAAAGCTTGCTGCAAGCGCCGATCTGTTGTACTCCCTGCCCTGACCCGAAACACCAAACCCCTGGACACTCAACCTTGGAACAACTTATGTCAAAAACGAACTCCCAGCATTGAGCCCAACCCTACCAACCGAAATAGGACGATGCATAATCCCCATAAAGCCTCACGCTCCGACTTTAACCCGAACCCCGAAACCCAAATGAAAACCTCAAAACCCAAACCGTCCCAAAACCCTGACCCTGAAAGCCCAATTTGGAGCCCTCCATTAATCCGGCACTATAACACCTATGATCCGAACCTTGCGCCGTCTCAGAGTTGCGTCTGGGTTCGTGTTAGGAACTGGACAGACAAAGCGGATCTATAGGATGTTACAGGCAGTAGTAGGTAGGGTTATACGTCCCCTAATATGGGCTGTTGGCTGTTACAGGCTCTGGCAGGGTTCTAGAAGTGTCTTTAAACAAGTGTGCAGGTCTTTGTGAGGTGTTTTTTTCGTGAAAATGCAAGGTTGACAGTTGACAAAGCGTCTAGGTGTATACTGCACGCGACTAAGACTTGTCATCCCCTGGTATGGAACCGTTCTTCAAGCCAGTGTGCCTGGATTCGAGGTCTTGCACAGCACCCAGGCGCCCCTGGATGGATCCTCAAGGGCCCGGTCAAAGGAAAAAACGCCCTTAAACAGGGGGCTCAAGTCTCAAATCACAAGGGGATTCACAACAGGATATGCGGAATGCACTCTTTCACTACTGCCTTGAAGTCGGAAGGAAGGTGGATTTCAGGGTTTTTCGGGTGTAGGGGGACACGGACCCTGAGTAGCTCCCCCTTCTTCCTACTATTCGGTTTTAATAAGGGACCTACTTGTCGGGTATCATGGGGAACTAAAGGTTAACCTTTCTGGTTATAATTGGTTATATAGGGACTATACTACCCCAAAAAGGTTATATAAAGGTTACTTACTCTACGACTAGGAAACAAAAAAGGCAAAAGGGTGGCCCTCAGCAACCTAGGGAGAGCTGGGCCCTGCGCTTCATTTTGGTCGGGACCGAACCAAAAAACACAACCGCCAGAGGCCAATCCGGAAAGACCCGAAGCCCTAAACCCAACCCTGAAGCCCTGAAGCCCTAAACCAAACCCTAAAGCCCTAAAAGCCTAGCAGCTTGGTGTAGGGGGTTATTCTTATGGGAGTCTAACCCTAAATAGGCCATAACTAGGCCTTAAAGGGACGCTAAACGCAAAACCCACAAGGCCCCAACGTGTTTTGGGATCTTAAGTTTGCAGGACTTTTGGGCTGACGCACACATAGCAAGTCCGCAAGCTAACCCCGCAGGTCATAATCACTCAACCCAGAAACCCTTGGTGTTCAGGATCTGTGTTTGTGTGTGTGTGTGTGTGTGCTGGAATAGGGTTGAGTGCTTCCGAATTTGTAGGAGTTGGTTTTCATGCCTGTCTGAAGGTGGTTGTGTCATAGCGCCCCGTGCAGCCCTTGAAGGGTTCACGAACAAGAGACCCAGAAACGACTTTGAAACCCTAAACCCTGCAGAATCGACTGCTTCCTCGCCTGTGACCTGATGTGGGGCCTTAATGACTAGAATAGGGCATTGGAGTAGTAATTGGTATGTTTATGATCAGGAGCAATTCATAGTTCTTCAATCTCCTCTGTTACATTCAGTTCACGATGATCGCCACTTACCCCTAGACAACCTCTTAAACCCCAACAGCCTCTTACAGTAAAAACCCAAAAGTTGGAAACCCAATGGCCTCAATCCTTAAGAGTAATGTATAGGCCCAGCACTATTTGTCCTTAATCCGGTTTCCAGCTATAAGCCCTAACCTCAAAAGCTGAGGCCCAACAGTCGAAGGCACTCAACCCTAAACCCTAGTCCCATACCCCCCCCCTTATAGCCATAATCAACATAGTATGTGTAGTATTCTCTTGGGTTTTATATGAACAAAAATTTACAAGAATCCTAAGGAGACTAACTCCCATATACCTATAGCCCTGAACTCCCTATACCCTTATAGAATCCCTGTACATCCCTTTAAAGGAACCCTTGTCAAAAGCTTAAGGCCTGAAGCATCTGAGACATCTCTGACAGGCCTTCAGGAATGGCTGCAGGCCGTCGCTGCCTGGAGATCACCCCCTAAAACCCTAAACCCTACACCCCAAAACCCTGAACCCTAAACCCTAACTTAAGGAATGGTTGCCTTCTGTATGGTTTCCAGTACAATTCCTTTTTGGGGGGATACCTTGTAGGGGGCCCTAAATATAGAATGGGTTAAGCCGCCGGGACTACAGACACACCGCGGTATCCTGGTGGGTTCCAGTGCCTTAACACTATCTTCGCGGTTGATCTCGCGACGACTTTGACTGGTATGTAATATGTACTTGTCCATGTGCAACGCGGGCTAATATGTACTTGTCCATGTGCAACGCGGGCTAGTAGTATCCACAATTGGCTCTACTACAACGACTGGCCCTTTTGAGAATTGCAAATACCATTGCTTTTGCCGTCCTTGTCGTTGAAGTTGACGATGCCAAATCTGCCGACGATGATGATGCGATGGAGATGATGATGATCATGACGATGATGGTAACTATGACGGTTGCCGGCACTTAAGAACCTGATGTGAAAACTCTGATGTCATGCCTAGGGTGTTCGCCCCCCCCCTACCCCCCCCACCCCCCGGCCTAAGTAGGGGCTCACCGTCACGCTGTCGCAGTTCAGGGTCTGGTAGGCAGAGCAAGCGTATGCCTGAGGCCCAGGAAGCTCCCTGAGTTCTAAGAGGGGGAGGCCTTGACATAAAAAGGGTGCCCTTTTTGGTCTAAAGGGTGTTATCAGGGAACCTAAACCCTAAAAAAGGAAATAAGGGCCTACTCTAGGTCCTAGTTGTTAAGGGACTTAATCTTAAGTTACCATAATCAAGAATCAAGAAACCATATTGTTTACTATAGATCCCTATGATGGTAACTTAATTTAAGTTCTTCAACAAGAATCCAGTTGAGAGTTCAGTGTTCATAGTGTTCCAGCCCTACAGTAAATCCCATAATGTTGGAAACGGGACTAAGGCCAAATAGTGCTGGGGTTCCCTATACATATACTCCTAAGGATTGAGGCTATTGGGTTTCCAACTTTTAGGCTTCTACGGTAGTTTAAAGTTGAAGCTTGCAGTGTAAGATCCCAACACCCACGGCAAGGCGGAGAGCTATGCCGAGCAACCTCACTGGTGGAGCCGATGTCTCCACGCTTTGCATCAAAGACGATCCTTGGCGGAGATTTTCCGTAATTCTACAAGCACAGGGAAGGCTTCGAGAGTTGTGTTTGGGTAAGCAGGAAACGTCGTGTTGTGATTCGGGTTGTGGGGCTGAGGTTCGGAGGACGGGAGGATTGGGAGGGGTATGGGTTGGGTTGGAAAGCTTGGGTTTGGGGCCGCTTATCGGTCTGTCGTGGCAGGGCTTTGTGTTTCACACACACACACACACACACACACACACACACCCACGCACGCACGCACGCACGCACGCACGCACACGCCTGTAATTCTTCCCCTCATCTACTAGCAGCAGGATTTAAAACTTCAGCGCTGATGCTTCATACACTGGTGGGACTCGGGAGTACTGCCAAAGTGTTTCATAGTCCGGCGCACCCTCCCTACACTTGGCGGTTGGAAGGTACTGATAATGTCTACCCGGTTAGAGGGTTTAGGGTTTAGGGTGACCACAATGTCTGGGGAAATAAAGAATCCCAGCTGCCCCAGCATTAACCCCGAATTTTGCCTCGATCCTTATCAAGAGGGTCCGCATATGCTACTGTTCTGGAATTAAGGCCCCGAAACCACGACAAGAGTGGTCTTTTGGGACCAACTTCCACACTGGTCGTATATATATATATATATATATATATATATATATATATATATGGGCAGTTGTCAAAAATTATGGCCCCGTTTTGCGTACCCTAAATAATAGGTACCGTATCATAACAGGGACCCAAAAAGGGGACCATAATTTTGACAAACACCCATATGAGGCCTGTGGGTCACTCCAAGGACACCAAAAAGGTAGCCCAGCACTTCAAGAACCCCTCAATGCCTTGCGGCATGGGCCAAGGTGCCAGCGAATCAGACCCTGAAAACGCTAAACCCCAGATCCTGCATCCTAACCCAAACCGTATGCTCCACTATCTCACCCTAATACATGACCCCGAATCGAGAAAAACTCTCAGCCAAACCACAGAAGACAACCTACGAACACCTATCAACATAGAACCCTGCTGGACTGGCTGCCCCCCTATAGTCTGCACTGTAGTTCCTTTTTCTGGTTGACCAAACTTGTGTTGTAGGATCCTAGCCATAGATCTGGCTACCGAAGACAAGGAGCTGCAATGCAGGCTGTAGGTACTCTAAACCCTTTTTGCATCAGGACTTGCGCAATCGCCTGGTACCCTAAACCCTTCTCCCTAAGCCCGAAACCCTAAAGTGCCTGAAAGTGCCAAGGCGCGGGATGTCCTTGGGGATCAAAGCAAGAGTTCGCTGGAGGGCTCCCCAGCCCTGCGCAAGGAGTTCTGTTCTGGGGTGTTAGGTGGCTTAGTGCTTGGGGGACCGACCCCAATCATACTGCGAATCTTACCTTTGGTTAGTAGGGAATGGAAGAATGCTAGTCATAGTAGTTATAATTGTGCCCCATTCCTCCATTCCCTACTAACCCAAGGTAAGGAATGTGCTACCAGGGTGGGGCCGGCCCTCTCCCTCCTCCTGATCGCAAATGAAAGTCTTCGACAAACCCTCCAGTGCCAACGGCCTCCACGCCATATGCCTCGAAGAAGGCTGCATTCGGCTTGTAAGCCGCCACTAGATCCTTCGTCTCCTGAATTTGGAAGGCAAGGCTCTTTGGCTTCAGTGTCAGGGTTTGTGGGTGAGAGAGCGGGAGGGCCAAAACTCTTTTCTGCCTTCTACTGCGATGTTCTCGTAAACCTGGCGTCCAGAAATTGTTTGAAGATAAAATTGTTTGAAGTCAGGGACACGGATGGGTTTACCTGCACGACAAATTTACCTCGCGGATGTAGGAGACTCACAAGCTAATAAAGTAGAGTGATCCTCAAGAACTCTCTGTAGAAACAGAGTATGGTGCATGCAACTCCTGCGGTCTACTTGGTTATATATATATATATATATACCGGCTGTTGAAACCCTCGTGAACACGCAATTGGAGCCTAAGCACGCCCGTTTTTCCGTCGCATGACCCCCGTTAGCCTTGTATTGTAGCATTTTAAGACCCCACTTATATATACTTCCTTTCCTGAACCCTACACGCTATACGTGATTTGTAAGGGTTGAACCCTATACCGTAAAGCCATTGATGATTCTTCGTGGTAAGTAGTGAGTCCGTGATCAGGAGAATGCAATGTCAACACCCTGTCAGGGAGTCCTCGATTACCCGAATAAAACCCAAACAAACCCTGAATCCAAAACCCTAAACCCGAAACAAATCAAAAACCCAGCACGCGCCGCTAAGGTTTTTAACGGCAAGAAGTCCTCGATCGACAGAGGTTTACGATCGCCAGAAGTTAGGACAGCGGGATCCCAGTTGTACTGTATAGACCCCAAAATGCCCAAGCCCCTGAACCATAACCGTTCCATGCTCCCATAACGGAGGCTATCGCGACCCCACATTAGACTCTTCGATCAGCGGAACAAATGAAGATCCCATAGGGCAATCTTTTAGGATACCAGCTCTTCTCCCCAAGCCCTGAAAACCTCCCATAGTGTAGGATGTTAGGACAAGGAGTCCTCGATCAGCAGAATAGATTCAGATCCCCATACGTAAGATGTTAGGATGACGGTTCATTTCTTTTAAAGCACGGAGTCATCGTAAAGCTCATTTTCGCCTTCAGCGGTCTAAACCCTAAACCCTAGATGAAATCCTAACCCCATAGTTCTCAACCCTAGACCCTAAATGAAACCCTAACCCTAAACCCTAAACCCTAAAACCCTAAAGCCCTGAATCCTAAACCCTAAAACCCTAAACTCTAAAACCCTAAACCCTAAAACCCTAAAACCCTAAACCCTAAACTCTAAAACCCTAAACCCCAAACTCTAAAACCCTAAACCCTAAACTCTAAAACCCTAAACCCCAAGTACGGGAGTCCTCGATCAGCCGGCTGCAGAAGCGGAAGGCGCCTTCCGCCGAGTCCTCCTCGAGCTCGGCCTTGGGGGAGACGCGAGGCGAAGGATGGGTTCCTTTTAAAGGGTTTAGGGTTTAGGGTTTAGGGTACTTAGAGTCAGTAAAGGGGGGTTCCTTTTAAAGGGATCTATAGGGTTCCTTAAAGGGATCTATAGGGGTTTATGGTTTACTTTTAAAGGCCCAAAAGGGTCCAAAGTACCTTTATAGTAGAATGTAGGGTTTCTATATTAGGAATTACTATTATGATTTAACGCCCTAAGGCTCCATGTACCCTTATAGTAGATACTTAGGCCTTAAAGTACCTAAATAGGGACCCCTTTAAGGCTTAAGTATCTGCTATAAAGGTACATGGAGCCTTTTAAAGGGTACTTAGAGGATCATGGGACTTGGGTAAAGGGTCCCTTAAAGGGATCTATAGGGTTTCTTAAAGGGATCTATAGGGGTTTAAGGTTTAGGGTCTACTTAGAGGATCATGGGACTTAAGTAAAGGGCCCCTTAAAGGGATCTATAGGGTTCCTATAAAGGGATCTTCAGGGATTAGTTTAGGGTTTAGGGTCTACTTAAAGGATATGGGACTTAGTATGTACGGTTATAAGTACCTTAATTGGGGTTGTAACTAGCTATAAGTATAGCTACCGTGGGCATGACCCTAGTTACTAAGTCCCTTGATCCTTTACGTAGGTAGCCAGAGAGCCCAATACCCCTTAACTACGGAATATACCTTAAACTGCAAGGGGATTCACTTTATGATCAAAGCTGTATTCCATAATTAAGGGGTATTGGGCTCTTTGGGTATAAGGGTTCCTTTTGGGCTCACCTTCCGGAGCAGAAATATAGAGGGGGTTTCGTGACGGGGCTCGTTTCGTGTAGCATGCTGCGCGGAGCAGGCTTTATGTCTACATGCAAAAGTCCTCGTACGAATTAGAGACGCTTGTTGCGATCTGATCTAGTATAGAACCAGGAACCCTAAGGAATCGAACTGGCAAGTGTTCAGGCCCGCGTGTTACAGCTCGAGACTTGAGGCTCTCTGCTTTTACTATTCCGAACTTAGGCTCCTAGCAACAATTAGCTGTTAAGACAGACTCCTAATACTGAACTTAGACTCCTAGCAACAAGTAGCTGTTTAAAAATATTTTTACTTACCCCTAAGTTTTGGAGTAGGGTTTGCGCCTTGTGTGGATCCAGGCCCACGCACAGCAGCGAGTCCACATCTCGAGCGCGCTTCGTCAACTTCTCAAAGAAGCGCATGGCTGAAACAAGACCTGCCTACTCCCCCTCGTCTCGAGCCGGCATGTGCCTCCGGGAAGAGCTGAATCTGAGAAGATGGGGCGGACTAAGAAGTACTTATCGCAAGCAACGTCCCTAGCCACCTACCATAGGGCCTTAATAATTAGATTATGGTTTTGGGGCCCATTATACTGCTTGTAATGATAAGGAACCCCTAAAACAGTATAGGTAATCAGTAGGCTTAAGAGTCCCAAGGACCCAATGATTAGGTACTCGGTCTTAGGATAGTAGTTATGTAGGATACTATGTTGGAGCATATATGATAATTAGGCACTTGGATTCTTAGGGTAAGGCCTCTACATTATATTATATACCGGATCCGGAGCAGTCAGACATGAGATGAGAGGGCTTTGCATGAACTCCCGGAGCCGCGAACCCGAAAGCCCAAGATGCAACCAAAAGGGTTTAGGGTCAAGTGCAATCATCGATCTTGTCATGCTGCACTTTGCAGAGGGGCCCAGCCTTATTTATGAAAACGGTGCTGGTGCGCAGCGAGGCGTTTGGCGGGACTTTAGGCGGCCTGGTCACATGGTTGGCCCCGCTTAAAGCCCGCGCCTATCCTCCAAAATGGCCTCTTAGAACGGCACAAAGGGAACTCCAGAAAGTTGGAATATGGTTTCAGGGTAGGATACATTATAATTTACCATAAAGGGTTCAGGATAATCATATTCCAACTTTCTGGCTTTTACTGTACGGGGCAGTCAGGGCAGCCTTCCACGCCCTTGCTCAGCTTGTCGATGGCCTTCGGATGAAGGCAAACACTGGTCGCAGTAGACTCGTAGACTTGATGTTCGTCTTGGGAGTGAAGGAGGAACAAAGACCCTTGGAAACGAGACTAGAAACCACCGGGTTGGAACAACCATTTTCTTTCCAGTTTAGCTAACTTAGAGATTCGGGCTGAAGGGTCAGATGAGTGGAATCGGATCGTAAGGTAATGGCGGATCAGTCAACAGCAGTGGTCGAGGTGCCTCGGCATGCTCGAACGAGGGTGTTTGCATATGCTCTGCTATCACCATTGCAGGGCAGGCGAGAAACCAATACATCCTACTGTACAGGTTGATGTCCAAGTCGATGCTTTCTACTTTTCTTCCCTCCTTGACGCGAGCCCGCGTGTGCTTGCGGTAATATTGGAGCCTGACTAATACTGCTAGCCTTCCACCACAACCCCTGTAAACGTACAGCACAACCGGTATATCACCAAAACCTCCGTTGCACCCAGGCCCACCTTCCCGACCTGTGATTCATAATGCCTGTCGCCAATGCTTCGGCAAAGAAAGCACAGATAGACACGGCTCCTTAATAAGGACCCCAATAGGGGTCATAACAAGATCCGCTTTCAGGACCCTTGATATGATCCGATTACCCCCTGAGGTTTACACGCCTTTGGATCCCAGGATCCTAAACCCTAATTTCGCTGCCTCCTGGGTCGCGGGGTCCACCTCCTCCCGACAGGCAGAAATTGGGCCAGGAGTTTGGAGGGTTTAGGGTTTTAGGGTTTAGGGGCTTAAGCTCAGGGATGTTTTAAACCCCGTGCAAGGCCTGACTGAACCCTCAAGCGAGGACGTTTAAAACCTTGAGCTTAGGGTTTCGGGTTCTCTCTAACCCCTAAAGAGTGCCACTGCCGGGCTTCTCAGAAAGTGGGCGCAGGAGACGTGAGAAGACACACGAGACCGCTCCTTCCCTTGCCTAAACCTGTAAACCCCAACCCAGGGACCTCATCAAGCCGGCCTCCAGGCTTCGGTTCGGGATTGAGGGATGTCTTAGTTGCTGAGTTCATAAACCACAAAAGTGTACACTTTTAGTTTTATACTGGGTGATACTACCCCAAAAAGTGTAAAGTGTATCCACTCAGCTACTATTACTAAGATGTTGAGCCCTTCAGTTACCCTAAACCCTAAACCCCTAAACCCTAAACCCTAAACCGTTAGGATTTTTGCCAGGCAAGCTCAGGATTCAGGGTACGCAACACTGAGGTGGAGAGGCTGTCACTTTCTACAGTTCCCAAAAACATGTGGGTGGGTTGCTGCCTTTTGGGGTACCCTACATAATAGGTGCCTTATTGTAATAATGAGCCAAAAAGGGGCCCTAATTTTGACAACCACCCATGTATAATCAGACTCTTGGGTCTTGACACCTCATTGCACTCCCCAAACTCATAAACCTAAACAAACCCAAGCCCCTAAAAGCCCTAAACCCTAACCCCCAAATCCTAAACCCAAAATCCCTAAAACACTAAATCCTGAACCCAAAGCCCTAAACCCTAAACCCACAGCCCCAAACCCAAAGACCTTTTTTGCCCCGAAATCCTGAACCCCAAACCCCGAACACCCTAAACCCTGAAAAAGCCCTAAACCCTAAACCCTAAACCCTAAACCCTAACCCCTTAGAGGAACCCTTAAGGGAACTCTGGAGTGGCGCGCCTCTTCGGCTTTCCCTGCAGGTTCCTCGGCTGCCTGGCACGCGCCCGTTTGGGTACCGGGTTCAGGGCTCTCAGGATGCAGTGTTGTGGGCTTTAGGGGTTCAGGGTTTAGGGTTTAGGAGGATGTAGAATTTTAGGGTTTCAGAGGTTGTGCAGGTTTTTTTAAGGCATTGCTTTGCAGCTTGCTGGCGTAGAGGTCTTGCTTAGCAGGGCTTAGGGGTTTAAATAATGGCTTTTCTTCTCCCTACTTGTCCCTAAACCCTTAACTCCTAAGCCCCAAACCCTATAAGCCCTAAACCCCAAGCCCTATAAACCCCTAAACCCCATCCTACTTGTCGGGTATCATTCAGCAACTAAAGGTTAACCGGTTAACCATTTTGGTTATATAGGGATTATACAGGGACTATACTACTACTAGGTTTCGGGGGTCGAGGAGCTCGAGTCTACAGGCTGTGAGTTCTTGTGGGCTTTATGGTTGGAACTCATCGACAACAACTGCTTCTCTAAGCATAGCTTACAAAGGTTCAGAATCGGCATTTTGGCAAAAGGCGTCTACCAGTGTGCGGTCGGCGTAACCATGCAAAGCTTGATGCAAACAAAACCTGAAGTCGTCCTCTAAACTTTAAACCGAAACAGCGATCGCGAAATCGCGAGAACACAGTTTTAGGGATTTAGAGGTTTTAGGGTTTAGGGGTTTTGGGGCTTGGGTTATTAATCCCAGAGACTCCAATATCCCTTAATTAAGAAATACTCCTTAAATTATAGTAGGATCGCGAATAGGAATATTCCTTAATTAACGGATATTGGAGTCTCTGGAATATAGGTGTAGATTAATAAATGTAGTATGATTACAGGGAATATAGGGGTAGTCAAGATTAGGGTCCCTTTTTGGGAACCCTAAATAATAGGTGCCGTATTATATTACGGACCCACCGACTGATGTCCGTTAATAATATTACGGACCCAAAAAAAAGACCCTAATTTTGACAACCACCCATAGAGGGATACTATTCTACTTAATCCGACCCCTCTATGCAACCATGCTTTCCTCTACCCCTGATCCTCGAAGCAGTGTTAAGCAAGGAATCGTCCGCAGGTTTCTGCCCCAGACCCCGGGGAGGATCCGAGAAGTAGATCCCTTAAAGGGGGTTGCTATAAAGTACCCTTGGTAGTATAGGGCCCCAAGTTAGGGGATCTACTTTCTAGATCCTCCGGGGGTCTGGGTGGGTGCTTCTAGGCCAGGAGCAGCTTACGGAGCCTAGGATCTTTCTTCGATCAACGATCTCCCGCGCCCCCAGACCTTCCAAAATCCCGGAACTAAGGAATATGCCTTAAATCATAGTAGAATCCCTAATATGATTTATGACATAGTCCTCAATTAAAGTATATGCCTTAAATCATAGTAGGATCCATGTATGAATGATATGGTCCTTTATTACGTAAGGGATTTTGGAAGGTCTCGGCCCGAAATTAACAATCTGTACTCTCAAAAATCAGGACAAAGCAAATGCCCTGACGACAACGCTCGGGTCCTCTGTCGGTGCTGCAGGAACTGCGTCAGTGCCTCGGGCTCGCTGACAGAGGTTCGGGGTTCAGGATGACATTCATGCCTAAGCTTTGTCAGAACTTAAGGTAAAAGCCAGAAAGTTGGAATATGATTATCCTGACCCTTTATGGTAAATTATAGTGTATCCTACCATGAAACCATATTCCAACTTTCTGGAGTTCCCTTTATGCCGTTCTAAGCTTTGTCAGAACTTCTGGACTTTGAAGTAACCAGGGAGAAGAAAGTATAGACTTTTATCTCAGAATGGTTCCTTTAAGGAACAGGTACCAAAAAAGTATTCAAGTATGGTACCCCAAACCCAGGACTTAGGCTGGAAGCCAAGCATGGCTCCTAGAATTTGGCTCCAGCTTCAGGGCTGTCGAAACTGAACGGTATGTGGACTCGAAGGGCTGCCTATGGTCAAGGACGTCGACTCAAAATTCGCGGGGGGAAGCGAAAAGGAGCTGCACAGCCAGAATAAAGTTCCGAAACCTGTTCCACTGCAGTAACTATACCTTAGGGTGTAGGGTTTACTATACCAGGAACTGTAGCGAAGGGAGTATGTTTTCGTTGTCTGCACAGGCCCCTATACCAGCTGCACCTGCCGTGCAACAAGCCCGCACCTGTTATCTGATATGACCTCTTGTGCCGCACAGTGTGCCACACAACGCTCCAACTTCACTGCGATCATGGGCTTTCAAGGCTCGAAAAGCCAAACCCGAAAAAAAACCCTAAACCAAAGACCCCAAGCGTAAGAACAATTTCGGGATCGGGTGCGAACTCTCGAGACCTTGAAAAATCCCAGCCACCATCCCACATCTTCATGATTTCTCATGCGCTCCCAGGCTCCAGGGACAACTAGTTCTATCAGGGCTCTGAAAAAACGCTTAGCGAAACCCTAAACCCTCAACCCTAAACCCTCATCGAGCCTGAACCTCACAATCGAAAGCGCCACGGAGGGACTGGGAGGACTCCAACCAAACTAAACCAGGGGCC